CCTCCGCCGCCCTCCGCCGCCCTCCGCCGCCCTTCGCCGCCCGTCCAGCCCCGTCCCACCGCCAGCGCCCACCAGGGCCCACCGCCAACGAAATGGCTCGCTTCCGCTGCCCGATTGGTTAATTACGACGCGATGGATTGGGTCGGTCACGTCTTGTGACCTTTCGCGCGCAGCCGAGGCAGGAATGAGGTTTCGATCGCCTTCGGAAGCGAGAACATTCGTTGAAAGTTGTCTGGACATATTTATGTGTAGCAGTTGGAGTGAAATGAAAATTTACACGCTTTTTACATAACGATGGTGTAGTCGGGAGAACTTGCAAATGTTTCAGTGATTTTGAAATTATATTTGGTCGCGTCGTAAATTTTTCCAATAAACATAGTGGTTTTTGCTTGAAGTACTTTAATATAGTTACTAAAAGTCCTTCTGTGTTGTCAATTAGTGGCCTATTTTAACTAGTAAATTTAATTATTATTTATTTAACATTAATTAAACATTAGTTTCCCCCTTTCTGAGAAAAAATCCTGGGAATGAATCGGTATATTTAATATTTTACTATTAAAAATGATAAATATTATAAAACAATTGGTTTAATATCCATGCTAAGACTAGTTGTATTTACATTTCGCAAATCAGATTGGACCACTTGGCAGTTACAAGAACAGTTTGAAAATGTAGCCGCTGAGCAGGCACTAATTCAGAAAGTGACTAATGCGAGAATACAGACGATATTGTAGATTATTATTTACTCATTGACAAATAAATACTGTAGTTTCTGGGTTTAAGAAAGGGACTCGTGTCCATCGTGACTCCGCCGGTGCTGCTCGACTACGCTCTTAATAGAAATATCAATTCTGCAGCCCGCACTGCGTGGTTGAATTAATAACCCTCTACAACTCTAATAAAGAAAAGAAAACACCCACGGCCAGCTCGGTTTTCGCCCTTGAAATATTTGGCTCTGATCCCGGCGCCTGAACTGGTCTTTTCTCTCATCAGGCTCGACACGTGTTGTTCATGCAGTAACAAACTCATAGCCGTAGCCTTATGTAATAAATGAACTCTATTCTAAACGACGATTGCAACCGTTATCTGTCTGACACCGAATGTAGAGGTGCGCAAAATACTGAGCTTACTGATTACGTTAACACTTTTTTTAAAATTATCATCAGCACCCTAAATGAGAGTATGATATATTCTGTAAAATTATCGAAACTAGTCAGGCATCACATAGTGGCGCGCCACGTTGGGTATCTTACACGCAAGATTTATATGCTTTGCCGATGCCTTCCAGCGATGTGTGTAGTGAAAGAATTAAAAGGCAGATAACATTTTACTGGATTGAATTCCATACAATGAGTTCCTTGTCGGCTGAGCGCGTTCAAATTGTTGGAGCCACCCCGCCCCGCCCCGCCCCTTCCCTGGACGTCTTGCTCTCCCGTGACGGCGGCCGCTGAGGAGGAAACCGCTTTGTTGCATTGTCCTGCATCCGCCCCTGCGCGGGTGGCCCGAATTTCGCTGCGTCCCCCACCCCTCCTTCCTTCGCCCCGCCCACCCGTCCGCCAGTGAAAGATGTGGCGCGCACACTTTGCGCGCCCCTCCTCCGCCTTACCCCTCGCGCACACTTGAAACCATTTGTCACAGCTGTTCCGCGTGGCCTGATTGTCCTGTGCGGTTGTGTGTTCGCAGGCTGTTCGAGGAAGTTGCAGAGACGACGTTGCCTCAGAGGAAGCAGCGCTCCACAGCAGGTAAAGAACGCGCGCGTTGTGCAAGCGCCGCTCCAGCCACTGGAGCCCCCGCCGTCGCCGTCGCCACTCACCCGTTACCATCACCATCACCACACCGCTGCTAGCGATCCCACCGACGTCTCTGCTGCTGGCGAAATACCACAACGCCTGCCACCACCAACAACCCTTCTATACTGCTATTCATGCAACCCTGCCCCTGGTAGATATCGGTTGTTGACGGTGTCATCTAAGCGGGAGCTTAAACTTCACCACAGTGACGTTGCAATGGTGACGTTCATGCTCCCGATTAAATGAAGCTGACTGCAGCTGATACCTGCCAAGGTTAGAGTTGCGATAATCGCAGTATGATATAGAGAGATTACTATAAGAAGGGACCGCTTTGACAGCTACTGCTCGGCGAGTGCTAGTTACGTCCATGCACTAATTTTATCAATGCTTTCGTTTTCAGTTAGATCATTTGTTAACGGCTTCATCATTATTTGTTGCAATGCCGTCGCCATGCATGACGGTCCCCTGTCAAAGTGGATCCTTCTGAGAGTAACTCCTCTATTCTAATACTATGAGAAACACTTCCTACACCATCATTACTGTATCCTATTCTCCACACCACTCTACTACCCCCCTTACCACCAACACCTTTCCCAACCTCTACAAGCGCCACATCATCCATTACAGACACATCCATCACCATCACCTTTACTAACGCCACATTACTCTTACCGTCTTCGTCGTCATTATTAGTATCATCGCCAAGTATTATCACCCAAGCCTCCACCCACCACTTGCGTCTACATTCCTTGCTCTTGTGGCGCCGTCGCCAATTCCCCCGCCGCCGGAACGACCGTGACCGGTTGCAGCTGCCCCGCCCCCGAGTCCACTGGCCTCCGCGCGGGGGTCCGCTTGTCTCTCTTCTTGTCCTCCAGGGGAGTTAAGAGCAGCGGCTTGGTATTAATGGTTTGTTGGAGTACACGGTTCCTTTTCGTTGCCTCTTAACATTACGAAGCGCAACCGATCTGGTGTGCATCTGAGTATAAGCTCAAGAGGGACCTCCTGGAGTTTGGCTGAAAAGTGTTGACAAAACACGATCATTAAGCAAGGGAGGTTTTGATATATTGTACGACGTATGGTCAATGTGGTAATGTTTCTTTTCACTTCTTTGATGAAATGTAGATTTGAATAAATAAGAGGTTTCAGTTAAAAGATTCAGACGGAATCGTGTGAAGCCGAAAATATTTACAACAATGTTCAGAGTTTAAATATTTTAAGATGTGAATAAATATGTATTGGGGTACGTATTGCGTTGTAATTGATTATATTCATTTCTATAATGCACTACTATTTAGGAAAAATATTAAATAAAAATATACAGATGCTTTTTCAGTTTGCGTCGTATGTGTATCTGATAAAAAATAGAGGAGAGAAAGTTCGCCCACCGTAGATTTAGCACTGCTACACAAGCAGTTAGCAGCATATTGATACGTGCAAACTATTTCACCGTTCTTTTCGATTTAAAACGTGTAAAAGTTAATTAAAAACTTGAGACGAATAGATAAACTCCAGGGTTAGGCTATATCGCAGCTGCCCTTAAAAGTAGGTAATTACTACTTCTATTATTGTCCAATTGTTTCCATTAAACATTAATTGATCCTCATTTCTGTAAATATGACTTTGTTTACGAAATTGTCGTTATAATACTACATGAACTCACATTAACAATTGATTCTTTATAGAGTAAGACATCATGTATTAAAGACCAGTTGTATCTCGGCATAGTCGCGTGTGATGTGATCGAAATTCTATAACCCGGCTATTGATTTTCTCTTCTGTTATTCTTTGTATATCATTACGATGCACTTAAAATTTTGCAAGCGTAATAGCAGTAATAAAGACAATCTAGGGCCAAGTGCTGGGGTCCCGACCCGCGTAATGAAAAGAAATCGATGTCACTCAGCGTTTTCTCCTTTCTCCCCCGTTATTGGTGAGGATCCAGCCGGAGAAGTGTCGACGTCATCTTTCGATTAGCCAAACAAGTGGAGAGGACGTGGAGAGCGCACGAGGGGGCGACAGCGTCCTTCAAGATGCCCATAATTAATGAAGAGGAGCGTGATGGGCGGCGTGGGAGAGGGAGGGGCGGAGCGGCGCGGCTCTTGCTCCCTTGCAGGCTCCAGGGAGCGCTGCATTCGGAGGGGTGTACAAAGTGCTTTGGACCTCGACCTGCACACGAAGGAGAAGTAAACATGTAAACGTTCTATGCCAATGAGCGTGGTTTCGGAAATGCAGTTTAGATTTTTGTTCCAGTTTTCTTCAGATTGTGACGTCAAAGATTAACCGGTCACTCCACAACTATTTTCTTCTGATTTTATTTTTCGGTGCCAACATGTGAAATGGAAGATTATATTGTCTCTTAATAAAGAATTCATATTGTGTTTATTTTAGTATTTTGATACAAAATTCATCATACCGCACAAAGTGTTACAAGAAGCTGCAGCGTTACATACGTGGTTAGTTGGCGAGCGAACTCAGGACCCTAGAAATGTATTTGTGAGGGATTGTTTCGTCATATCCCTTTCTGGAAGAATCAGAAAACCTGTCGCAGCTAATTTTCAGCAATTTGATTCTTTTCGATAAGGACTTCTCCTTATTTTGTTGAGTTACTAAAATATCGAGAGCATCTCAAGGTTTCCATAGTTTATTTCCGATCCATCCACACTTTTTTCCAACTTTTTGGATGCCCAATATTATATTCTTAGCGTTTTGGATATTTTTATTTTCGTGTAGATCAGAAGTACGCAGTGAGGTCATTTGGTAGGGTGGGTTTGAAATTAATTTTGAAATTAATTTCATTCAAACTTCTCCAAATGGTGAGTTATTGACTATGAAATTTTCGTCATTCTTCACCGAGTGAGATAATTCCAGGGAAAGCGTCATTTCAATAACCTTTCTACATAGTTGACGTCCGGACCGTATATTCACGCAGGCGCGCAGTTCCCTTGATTGTTTTCTCGGACGGATTTCGGCGGACTACAAAATATCCTGACCAACTGTCGTCACCCCAAAACATCCGCGTGTTCCACTTAACGCGCGTCTCCCGTTTTGGTCGCGTCCGCCGGGCCGCCCGTCCGCCCGTCCAGCGGCGTGCGTGGCGCGTGGGCGTGGGCGTGCGCGTGGCCGCGCTTTCACGCGCGCGCGCTCGCCTCCCGTGGCGCCGTGAGAAGCCAGCGCCCACTGGGCGCGGGGGGGGGGGGACGGGCCGGTCGCGCTGATGCGCCGCGGGGGCGGCCGCCTGCACGCCAGCCAGGCCTTTCGATTGCCCGTGGAAGCGCGGGCGCAGACGCGTGCGAGCGCTAGAAAGGAGGCCGCTGGGAGGTGGGGCTGGTGTGGTCCGGCTCTCCGGGAGACGCTGCTTTGTGGACTAGCGCCCATGTTTGGAACGAGTCTAGAATTTGCTCCGAAGATGGTCGGGGAGAGATGACAAACTTTCAGGACGTGACTCTCGGAAATAGAAGATTACGTGGTTTTCTGTGGAAACCGTCACGGAGGGGGTATGGTGTTGGTTGAGGCGGAGGTAATAATGATGGAAATTATAGTTAGATCTCTTTCGTTTTAGACCTAAATCAAAATAATGTGGATTGTGAGCAAGGCAACGACCATCTTTTTTCTCGTGTGAAAATGTCCAATATGTTCACATTATAATGGAAACTATATTGTACGATTTAATTAGAACTCCTAACGTGTGATCAGCTGGGATGCTTATACCCAATTGAGAGCTTCAAGAAAAGAGGAATTAAGTCGTAATGAATTTCCCGATTGAATAATAGCGTCTAACTGGATAAAAGTCGGAAGTTTCAATTTAAATCGATGTAGGAAACATTATATTGGAAGAGTTAATCCTCTAAGGGAATAGCCAAAGTGTATAACTGGTCCAAGACCAAAGGCTGGCACTTTTAGCCTCTGAATATATTTTTGTAGAGTGATGATCGAAATGACATTGGAATTCTCCGCTTCCAAATGAAATTTCCGCCGCTCACCTAACCGTCTCACGCACGGAGCAGACGAGGGCGCCGAGTGCTGCCGCCGCTGGTTGGGAGCCGTCAGGGGGGCGGGGCGCCAAGACAGCTGCTGTGGCTGCTGTCGGAGCGGCGGCGCACGCGCTGCGTGACCCGGGCACGTGTGCGGCTTTCTCTCGCCCCCGCTTCGCGCCCGCCCCCGCCGCCCCGCGCTATCAGGGGCGATCGCCCCACCCCCTCCCCTCGCTCTGCCCGCACGCGCCGACTACCGCCTTCGTCGCCGTCCTGGGAAGCTGCGTGCGTTCGTGCAGGCCGGTGCTCTGGCGATCTGTCCCGGGGAGAGATCCGCTGGACCCTGGGGTCGCCGCGCGGACGGCGCCTACACGCGCTGTGGCGGCGCTGCGCTCGGTTAATGCGACAGGCGCTGGAGGTTGGGCGAACACGCGCAGGCGCTGCGCGCGTGGGAGAAAATTTGCATACGCGCACCTGGGACCGGCGCCTGGGATAGCGTGAGCATATAGGACAGTTAGCAGATGGTCATTTCGTTTTAGCTTACCACCCAACAGAAGGAATAATGTTTTTTAATGTGTTTAATAATTGATTTTATTTTTTAATATTGAAAAGTGATGTAGCATCAGAGACTAGGAATGATTGGTGAAAGGTATTCTGAACGAACGGTACGGGTGGTGTTGAATGAAACATGTTACAATCCGTTGTCGCGATTCCGTGCTATCTTCTACTGATTCGTCTTCTGTAATAACAGTCATGAAGCCCAATCCGGAAGGTGTGCGTTCAGGCTACTGTGCCGCTGGGTTGCACAACTATGGACAGATGTGCTGCTCACCATTGTTTTTTAAAATTGGCCGTCTCAATTTCCAAAACATTACAACCATCTGAAACTGCCCCTGAGGAATAAATAGCATTTTCCAACTTCGTTGGTCCCAAGAATAGCACTATAAGGGGCTTACCTTTTTTAACATATGCATACTTTGT